ATATGTACCAGTTCATTCAACTCGTTTGCGAACGACATGTACCAGTTCGGTCATTTCGTTCACTAACGAGAAGATCTCTCGATCTCGTTCAGACTCAAAAGGAACTCGTTCAGTGAAGGGCGTATTCCTTCACTACATTCAACAAATCACATGCTCCGTCACATCTCAAACTCTAAGGCTATTGGCTCGAGGTTTAGTCATTCTTTGACATGACGAAACAGTCCACAGAGCTACCCGGTTCACTAATCTGCTCATATTCTGCTGTTCTGTGGCCACGGATTTGTGGGTCTTGTCTTTTTCTCCTACAGATTACTTGCAGGACCCTGTATGTTATAGTACTAAATTAGTTTTAATCATTTAACCACCACAGCTTCTTGTCTCCATTGGCAACACGCACGATTCCTGTGGATTGCAAGTAGCTGAGAGTGCAAGCGGCGATTGTAAGTAGGAGTCAATGATTACGTGAACGATTCGTTCACCTAAAAGATTCGTTCAAAAAGAACAATTCGTTCACGAACGAAACATCACCAAGCAACTGGGATGGTGCCCCCCTGGGAGTTGGTGCCCTACGCAAACTGCGTACTCTGCGTATAGGGAGCGGCGGTACTGTTTTGAAGCATTGCAGCTGGTTTAAACTGGTCCTTAGTTGGTCATGAGCTGGTTTAAATGGTTATAAGCTGGGTATGAGCTGGTCCTGAGCAGGAGCTAATTGCTTAGGACCAGTGTAGGATCAGCAAATGACCATCCTAAACCAGCTCAGAACCAGCTTATGACCAGCTCAGAACCAGCTTAAACCAGCTCAAACCAGCTGCCATGCTTCAAAACAAACCTAACCAGCATATGCTGTTTCTCCTCAACAGGGAGATAAGAGAGACATCTGAAATGTGCAGTGCTGGGGGTTCTCCAGGACCAGGATCGACAACCACTGCCCTAAAAGGTGTGTATTACTGCCTTACACAGTACTACTATGAACCATTTAGGGGCGAGTAAGGTACAAAGATGTCCTTCTGAGGGAACTGCCCCAGTGATAAGCTGTTGTACCCTATTTTTGGACATTTTCTTGGGAGTGCTGAAGTCCATTGTGACAGTCATTAACTACTGTACAAATTGCTCTTTTTACAACTGATCCTCAAACCTTTTTTTATACCAATTCATCAATGAAATATACAATACACAATATATAAGGTACATGTATTTCCTAACAACACGAAGGGAACGCATAATGCATATACTGTATATTATTAGGCGTAAGTTATTATAAAGCTGTATAATATAGTAAGGATGTAGTATATAGTAAAGTATTCTAAACGATGAGTAATAGAAATTAAATCGGACTCAATTCAGTGATCTTTTTTAGTGAGACAAAAACATAAACAATGTGTTTATACTGACATCTTCTGGTTACTCAGTACTGTCACACATCTCAGAAATTGCTGTTAAGATGATTTTCCATGTAGAGACTGCAGACCATCTTATATGATCTTATTAACGTTAGTGGTATCATACATAATTACATTACAGTGAGTCGAGACTGCTGTGGTCCTTAAACCTCAATATCTTGTTACATTTATCTGGGAAAAGTGGAATCAGTAGCCTATGCTAACGTGTTTTTAAAAGCAGGAATAGGTTGGGATTGGCTTTAAATATTTGAGGTATGCAGCTAGGGAATGTTCCAAATTCTAGTTAAAAACCTCTGGGGCAAATATGCATAGGCCTACATGTGTAAGAACATGAACAGTCAGCGTAACTTTCGTCTTGTATAATCTCGTATGAATTCCCTGAGCTGTTGTCTTCTGTAAAATGAACAGAAGTAATTATGGAAGCTCTTAAAATGAAATAACTTCATGCTTCTGTACACTTTATGATTTTCATAGACTCATCAGAGTCATCAAAAACCTCAAGGCAGCATCTGTTAAAAGTATATGTACATTTAAAAACCAAAAATAGTCATTTGATGAAAATAACCACAGTTTAGCCTCTCTTGACATAATAGCAATTTGATCTCATCTGCTGCCGGTGATTTACTCTGCATAAAGTCATCATTTAAAGGTTAATTAATGTCACAAGCATTTGTCCCCCCGGGGAACAGAAAGACACAATGCTGCTGCAATTCTATAGGAGTCTAAATGTAATATTGTCTTTAAAGGTAGCCTGCTTCCAACAGGCTCGGATCCAGCTGAAGGAATCACGATGGGAAACATAAATCTTCGGGCCAAAGGGTTGCATTGTTACAGAATATCAGAGTAGCATGTTCTGAGCTCCAAGATATAATTTAACAGCTTTTAAAATGTAGTAGCTCCCTGCCAAGAGCATTGTAAGAGCAAGACAGGGAAGACCACCGCGCTTTGAAGTTGTGTGCGTTTGCTACGGTTTAATCATCAGTGAAGACGCTCCCACGTCATTCAGACACATGGCTCACGTTTCAGTTCCTACAGGGCAAAATGACAGAGTTTGTGTAGCAGAGCTGATATTTCACACATCTTTGTCCCAGAGATTAAATAATGTCTTTTAGAAAACCTATTAGTGGCCCTACAGCCTATGAGTGCCCTTATAGCATTTGTTGGAGCATTAGCTTTACATTATGCAACGTGTAAGATGGAAGGGTCATACGCAGCTGTGAACTGACTACATATATATATATGCAAATGCTTTTAGGTTATGTGTGACTGCAGACCATCCTCAGTTTTTATCCTCAGTCACTTTAGGTGTGGTAACATCTATAGATAGCTTCAGAATAACATTATCTTCATAGTAGTCTACTATTAGACTGACCATAAATAAGTGTTTCTGAAACTATGGACACTGTTGGCCTTATAATTATATAAATAAAATGATATAAATCATTTTCACATAATTCATCATATATTTATGTAATATGTTGTATTAAAGTTTATATTAATTTCACTCTTTTTTTGTATTTTTAATGTTTAGATAATATTCTCAGACAATGCACAAACTCTTTACATGAAAGACGATTGTAAAAAAAAAAAAACTAGAAAAAGTTCAAAAATAAATTATGAAAGTGGATTTCCAAGGTGACCTTCATATCTAACCGTCATAAAAAAAAGTATTTTTTTATATTAAAAATAGCCTCAGAAACACCCATGATATTAATTTTTCAGTACACATTAGAAATGAATAAAAATGATTTATGAACAGAGCTGGGTATTTTGATATAAAAATGCAAAGAAAAAGAAAATATATTTCTTTCATTGTTATTAACAACATGAAGTGCATTAAACATTACATGTCAAGGTTTTCCAAAGTAGGGTTCGTGAAGGAACTTCAAGGGGTTTGTCAGTTAAAAAGCTAATAATGAATGAAATCATAAAAATGTAAAATTAAAATAGACTATTTTAAATATCAATCAAAATAAAGCACTTAGCCCACTAAAAAATGAAATATTTTATTTGTTTACCAGCATGTAATTTGACAATGAGAGATAACTTTGAACATGAAAATGTGTTATGTGTTAAAATCTCAGGGGGACTTAATATTAAGTGGAAGAGATTCAGATGACAAAAAAAATTTGCGAATTCCTGCATTACATGAAAATAAGAAATAACGTGAATTTGTGCATTTTAATGTGTTTGAAAGACAAAGGCCTTTTAAAGACATAGTATTGCATGGTTAATTAACCCACTAAGTGATCATTCAAATAAAAATGAATGTGTTCATCACTAGTTTAATGCAATGTTGAAATGTTAAGAAAACACTTCTTAAAAATGAAATGATTTTTGTAAATATGTAATCATGTAATTAATAAAAAAGTAACTGTAGTCTGATTATGAGTAGGCTATTTTAAAATCTAATTTAATCTAATTACAAGTACTTAATTTTTGGAATCTGATTACTTAATCCAGATTACATAGCTATCAGTTACTACTTATGAATCACCTCTGAATGTAAAACATGACAAATTATAGTTTAATCACATACCTTTTAACTCTATTGATCAATATCACGTTTTAATCTTAAATAGTTGAGCAATGCATTATATTATGATATTTAAAGGGACAGTTCAGCAAAATGAAAATCCTGCCACCATTTCATCAACATGATGATCCATACCAGCTTGTCTTTATTTCTCCTGTGGAACACACAAGGAGAAGTCAGGAAGAATGTTAGGGACTGACAGCATTTGTCATCTTTCACTGTTATTGCATTATTCCCATACTATGAAATGTGAACTTTTCAATTCCTAACATTCTGCCTAACTTTTCATTTTATGTCATTTTAATAAGTCAAGTCAAGTCAAGTCTGCTTTATTGTCAATTCTTCCATCCAGGGAGGGGGGGAGGGCAGACTTGATATGGTGCATGACTAGCCGTTCAAAGCACTTCATGAGGATGGGGGTAAGTGCAACTGGACGGTAGTCATTGAAGCAGGATGGAGACGACTTCTTCGGGACTGGAATGATGGTGGTGGCTTTGAAGCATGTGGGGACAACAGCCTGGCTTAGCGAGATGTTGAAAATGTCTGTGAAGACATCAGTGAGTTCCACTGCACAGTCTCTCAGTACACGCCCAGGAATGTTGTCAGGACCCGGAGCTTTGCGTGCATTGATCCTGCTGAGGGATCTCCTCACGCTGTCCGGGGACAGCGTCATCACCTGGTCGCCGGGAGGAGGTGGAGTCTTCTGTGCAGTGGTGCTGTTTTGTTAACGGAATACAAAGTATCCAGTGTTGTTGTAAAATGATGTTACAGTTTAACTTATTACAGAATCAGACATTTGAGACCGCTACAGTATGGGTAATATTTCATTTAAAAAAACTACCATACCCATAAATCTCAGTATTTTTGCATAATCGCCAAATCTCTTTCACTATAGCACTTTCTGTGACGGTAAGGGGGCGTGCGCCTTTTCAGCAAATTATCAACGCATCGAACGCCGATTGGGCGACATTCTCCACGTGACTCACATCATCCAATCAGCGGCTATACCGATGAATATATTTCCATCTTTCTAAAGGTGAGTTCTGAAAAAATGATGACGTAAAACGATGAAGTCTGTGTTGTCACCAGCTGTTTGCAGAGGAACAAAGTGCTTCAAACAAACATGATGAAACAAACGGACAGACGTGTCAAGTTTCGAAAAACGGCAAGGCTACATTGCATAAGGGCCCCAGAACTGAAGATATCCCGATAGCGTTTACGAAACAAATTACAACCAAAGGGAAAAAGCCGCTATATTATTTTTCGTAAGTACGTACTGTAAAGTTTCCGCGTGATTCGTGAAGAGTCTTGTGCAATATTGTACAGTAAGTGACCCGTGCTTCGTCCCACTTATTTTAAATAACAACAACGGAACACTTTCAGAAGTTGTGTTGATTTTCCACACTCTGCATAGTGATGCTTATCTTTACATATTGTTCTATGACTTTTTATAGTCCATGCGTCTGAATGTCAGTTAACGTAATGCAATTTTAAACCCATATGTGCATTTATACGTGTTTCTTGTGTCTGACAGCAAGTGCGCAATTGTTCTGAGTGTCCCTCCACTGCGCGAGGATGAACGTGGGCACAGCGCACAGTGAGGTCAATCCAAACACGCGAGTGATGAACAGCAGGGGTATATGGCTCTCATATGTGCTTGGCATCGGCTTCCTACACATCATATTGCTCAGCATACCGTTCGTCAGCGTTCCTGTGGTGTGGACCCTCACCAACCTCATCCACAACTTGGTAAGAGCTGCTAAATCACATCAGGCTAGAAAGTTTAACTGCTAATTTAATATTAAAGGGGTCATATGATGCTTTTTTAAAGATCATTATTTTGTGTATTTGGTGTAACAGAATATGTTGACATGCTTTAATGTTCAAAAAACACATATTTTTAAAATACTGTACATTATTGTAGGTCCTCTATGCCCCGCCTCTCTCAAACGCTTCGTTTTCTACAAAGTCCCTCCTTCCGACAAGCGCAGTCTGCTCTGATTGGCCAGCTGACCCAGTGCATTGTGATTGGCCGAACTCCGCAAGCACTCGTCGGAAATGTAACGCCCCTTACCATAATCGTGAGCTTCAGCTTTCAAAATAAATGTAAAGACAGAGCCCAAAAGGAGAACAGAGTCACGTGACAGACACAGTGATGAAGCTGGTATGTGTTTGCAGTACACAAGCCACGGTTAAGACAGCTGACTCCACTGTGATGTGA